GGGCTTGCTCCAGGGCTAGCTCCAGAGCTAGTTCTATCGCTCGCTCCAGGGCTAGCTCCATCGCTCACTCCAGGGCTAGCTCTATCGCTCGCTCCAGGGCTAGCTCCAGGGCTAGCTCCAGGGCTAGCTCCAGGGCTTGCTCCAGGGCTAGCTCCAGGGCTAGCTCTATCGCTCGCTCCAGGGCTAGCTCTATCGCTCGCTCCAGGGCTAGCTCCAGGGCTTGCTCCAGGGCTAGCTCCAGAGCTAGCTCTATCGCTCGCTTCAGGGCTAGCTCTATCGCTCGCTCCAGGGCTAGCTCCAGGGCTTGCTCCAGGGCTAGCTCCAGAGCTAGTTCTATCGCTCGCTCCAGGGCTAGCTCCATCGCTCACTCCAGGGCTAGCTCTATCGCTCGCTCCAGGCTAGCTCCAGGGCTAGCTCCAAGGTTTGCTCCAGGGCTAGCTCCAGGGCTAGCTCTATCGCTCTCTCCAGGGCTAGCTCCAGGGCTAGCTCTATCGCTCGCTCCAGGGCTAGCTCTATTGCTCGCTCCAGGACTAGCTCCAGGGCTTGCTCCAGGGCTTGCTCCAGGGCTAGATCCAGGGCTAGCTCTATCGCTCGCTCCAGGGCTAGCTCCAGAGCTAGCTCCATCGCTCACTCCAGGGCTAGCTCCAGAGCTAGCTCCATCGCTCACTCCAGGGCTAGCTCCAGGGCTAGCTCTCTATCGCTCGCTCCAGGGCTAGCTCCAGGGCTTGCTCCAGGGCTAGCTCCAGGGCTAGCTCTATCGCTCGCTCCAGGGCTAGCTCTATCGCTCGCTCCAGGCTAGCTCTATCGCTCGCTCCAGGGCTAGCTCTATCGCTCGCTCCAGGACTAGCTCCAGTGCTTGCTCCAGGGCTAGCTCCAGGGCTTGCTCCAGGGCTAGATCCAGGGCTAGCTCTATCGCTCGCTCCAGGACTAGCTCCAGGGCTTGCTCCAGGGCTAGCTCCAGGGCTTGCTCCAGGGCTAGATCCAGGGCTAGCTCTATCGCTCGCTCTAGGGCTAGCTCCAGAGCTAGCTCCATCGCTCACTCCAGGGCTAGCTCCAGAGCTAGCTCCATCGCTCACTCCAGGGCTAGCTCTATCGCTCGCTCTAGGGCTAGCTCCATCGCTCACTCCAGGGCTAGCTCTATCGCTCGCTCCAGGGCTAGCTCCAGGGCTAGCTCCAGGGCTAGCTCCAAGGTTTGCTCCAGGGCTAGCTCCAGGGCTAGCTCTATCGCTCGCTCCAGGGCTAGCTCCAGGGCTAGCTCTATCGCTCGCTCCAGGGCTAGCTCTATCGCTCGCTCCAGGACTAGCTCTATCGCTCGCTCCAGGGCTAGCTCTATCGCTCGCTCCAGGACTAGCTCCAGGGCTTGCTCCAGGGCTTGCTCCAGGGCTAGATCCAGGGCTAGCTCTATCGCTCGCTCCAGGGCTAGCTCCAGAGCTAGCTCCATCGCTCACTCCAGGGCTAGCTCCAGAGCTAGCTCCATCGCTCACTCCAGGGCTAGCTCCAGGGCTAGCTCTATCGCTCGCTCCAGGGCTAGCTCCAGGCTTGCTCCAGGGCTAGCTCCAGGGCTAGCTCTATCGCTCGCTCCAGGGCTAGCTCTATCGCTCGCTCCAGGGCTAGCTCTATTGCTCGCTCCAGGACTAGCTCCAGGGCTTGCTCCAGGGCTAGATCCAGGGCTAGCTCTATCGCTCGCTCCAGGGCTAGCTCCAGAGCTAGCTCCATCGCTCACTCCAGGGCTAGCTCCAGAGCTAGCTCCATCGCTCACTCCAGGGCTAGCTCTATCGCTCGCTCTAGGGCTAGCTCCAGGGCTAGCTCCAGGGCTTGCTCCAGGGCTAGCTGGCTTGCTCCAGGGCTAGCTCCAGGGCTTGCTCCAGGGCTAGCTCCAGGGCTTGCTCCAGGGCTAGCTCTATCGCTCGCTCCAGGGCTAGCTCCAAGGCTAGCTCCAGGGCTAGCTCCAGGGCTTGTGGGATCATGAGCCCCCCCTGTTGTGAGGCCAGAGAACTGCCTGCCTCACCTCCAGTCTGTTTTCTGGTTTCTCATCGCTCCTCAGCATGAAACACGTTACACACACAGTTGGAGACAAGATCTCTGTACATTATATGCATGAGCTAAATTATGGAAAATCAGTTCATACATTAAATGTTTTTTAGCCATTTTATTGGCGACATACAGGCAGGAGGAACCTGCTCAATGGCAGCCAGTGCAGTGAGTCAGAGGTTAAAGAATCCAGGTGAGGCCCGGCTCACTGCTGCCTCACCTGCTGCTCTTCTCATTTGAAAATGGAAAAATTCAACAATTTTGAAGAAAAAATAATCAGAATTGATTAAGTTAAATGAAAAATAAATACTCCACAGTACAAACCTCAGGGTGAAAATAGTAATATAATTATTGTATCATATTATTTTTTCCATGGTAACAGGCGAGGCTCTGACCTCACGTCACTGGAATGCACTGCATGCAGCTAACAGCTGTTTGTGTGTGAAATGATCAATAGCAGAGGATCAGCACTGATGCAGCGAGCTGGGGCCCTTTTCTCGCTTTTCTCTCTACATGTGACTGTAGTCATGAACTGCAGGAAGCTAAAGATGGCGGCAGGAAATCTCCGGGGAACAAAACGGAAGAGGAGGAGGGACGAAGAAAGCTTAAGCTAGGTTAGCTTAAGCTAGGCTACAATGGCAGCTGCTTGTTGTTTCCGCTCCGTATTGAACCAACGGGACGCCATTTATTCATTATTGCTATAATGTCCAATAGACACTCATATCACACACATCTCAACAATAAGTGCGATAATAATGCCCTAAACATGATATTAAGTTCAGCTAAACAGTCTGTGGGACCTGAATAGGACCCCCCCCCAGTCTCTTCATCCCTCACTCACCCTGAGACCCAAAATAACATCAATGGCAACTTAAACCACAAGGCATAAACATAGATTCATAATTAATGAGTTTTGTGAAGAGAAACTGTTTATTTTTCCAACATTAGAAACCAACCCAGAAAGTCGCCACCCATCAGTTCTCTTTAAAGATCCAAGTTTCTTTCTTTTTAAATAAAACGGGGGAAGTTGGGTGAGGGACAGCGGGGAGGGCTGGATGCTAGAAGGCTAGGAGGGCTGGATGCTAGGAGGCTAGGAGGGGCTGGATGCTAGAGGTAGCGAGACGTTATATGCCTGCGCTACATGCTGTAAGATTAACAACGGACCAAACCCGTGTTTTAAATCAAGCTTTAAGATAATGTATCAAACCTCAGGCGCAAAATGAAATGTACTACAGAAATATGAAAGCATTAAACTCTTTGGGTTAGCGTTCGCCTCCATAGTCGCCAGCCTCCGTGATGCTGGTATTTCTTCTATATGACGTGGCGTCTTGTGATTGGCTGGGTGTTGGAATCTGACGTCCATTGCGCATGTCTGTGACCTGAAGTAACCTTTCCATTTTTAACGGCGAATTTTTAGACGTTGAATTTTTTACAGCGAATTTTTTATCACTGGATTTTTTTTTCACGTACAAATAATGACACTGAATTTTTTTACGTTCAAATTTCAGAGGCATTTTTTTATTCAAATGCTGATGGCACATATTTATTTCCATAGAGACGTTTGTTCGGATTGTGCATGAAAAACTTTTACAAAACAGTCTTTTGTGCTCAATATTATTTCACCATTTTATTAATGTGGGTTGCCAGTTTGGACCAGTCCTGGTCCCGGTCCAGCTCTTTTCTGTTTTTTTATCATGCTTCAAACATTTTTTGACATTATGTCAAACAAAAATGTTCTTAAACTGTTTAATTCTGATTTTTATTAATTTCTGGTTCTGTTCCTGGTCTGGTCCTGATCCGATCCTGGTCCTGATCCGGTCCTGGTCCTGCTGCTGTTTTTGGTTTTCCTGCCAGACTTGATCCTGTCCGTGTGGATCAGATGGTTGGGAATGGATCAGAACCAGGACCATTCTCCTTTGTGGTTCAGGTTTTCAGTCTAGAACCGAATCATTTTTCGCTTTTGCCCCTTGACCCCTGAACCTTTCAGGCTTAAAAACAGCTGGTTCAAACCAAACAGTATCAAACTAAGGCTACGTTCACGCTGCGTTCACACTGCAGCGGAAGTGACCCAATTCCGATTTCTTTTACGTAATGCGACCTGTATCTGATCTTTTCATCCCAGTTTGAGCAGCAGGTCGGATTCTTTTGGAAAGCGAACCGGGCCTTTTGCGTGTCAGATTCAATGTACCGACATGGACAAATGTCACTATTCTGCGCAACAACAACCACGGACTATAATGAGGATTAAGTTGTTAATATGCTGGACAACAACTTCGAATATGTAAGCTAACAAGCTCCACCTACATGTTTACTTCCGCAAATACTGAGCGCTTCTTCTATTGCGCCCTCTACTGCGCATGCGGAATACTTGCAGGTCCGGTCCTTTGCCCGTCCAGATGCCAGAACCTGTTCAGGTCGCATATGCGTGGCAGTGTGAACGGTCCGGAAAAAAATCCGATTGACAAAATATCGGAATTGGGTCATTTACATCATTATGATGTAAAGCACTTTGAAATGCCTTGCTGAAATGTGCTATACAAATAAAATTTGATTTGATTTCAGTATCATATTGCAGTGTGAACGCAGCCTAATTTTAGTAGTTGCAAAGTACTAAAATGAAATAAATCAACATTTTCTCATCACAAACCTTCATTCATAATCTTTACATGACATATTGGAACATTTCAGAATTTAAAACAAAAAGCCATTAAGAGAACTGATGTGTTCACTTTGTTTTTTTTATATTGTTTTTGATGATTACCCCAGCATGTTCTGTGTTTATGATATTGATGGTGTTTATCAACCCATTATTTATTTAAAATAAGAAAGATAAAAAAAAATAATAATCAGCGAGTTCTGAGTCACGGTGATGTTGGCTGGAAACTGATCAGAGGAAGCAGAACGGTAATTACCCCGCTCCACCAGCAGGGGTCACTCCACTTACACTCCGCAGAAGAAGAAGAGGCGGAAGTAGCGGCAGCAGAGTCTGTTAGCTTCGTGCTAACTGCAGCGACCCAGAGGCATGTCTACGGCCTCCAAGGTGGTTCTGACGGTTTCTGTGGTTCTGACTGTCAGCGCGGTGGCCGGGGTCCACCTCAAGCAGGCCTGGGACCGGGAGGTAAGCGGACCGGAACCGAGCCGTACCGGACAGGTCGACCAGGTGGCAGAACGGGTTTATCGGGACACAGACCTGTAGAGGTAAAGTCCAGAACCGATCAGGTTCCGATAGAACCCTCACGGTTCGGGAGCTTCTGTGGTTTAATGAGAGAAAAGCTGGTGACCCGGAAGAAAGAGCTGGTTCCGGTCCACTTCTTCATCCTTACTTAGAGAGGAAGATGGTTGCCAGCAGAACTCCCAGTCAGAGGGACCAGCTGAACCCAGAGCTTCACCTCTACAGGTCAAAGGTCATAACTCTGGTTGTAGTCCAGTTGAGCCTGTCAGTCAAACTCTAACCAGCTGTGGTTCTGATCCGGGCCCGGTTCTGTGCAGCGTCTGCGTGAGGGCGTCCTGCGGGATCTGGACCGGCTGCAGAGGAAGCAGCAGAACCTGCTGGAGGAGCAGAAGGTTCTGACCGGACAGCAGCAGGAGGAGAGGCGGGGCCAGGAGGCCAGGCTCCGCCCACAGGACACCTGAGCCAGGTACGCACACCTCAAAAAGACCATCACTGTGACGGGTTGTTCTGAGGACATCCTGACCCGGTTCAGGGTCCAAACCGGCAGCCAGTCACCTGACCCGTCCAGGCGATGGAGGGCGGCGGCGGTGCGGCAGAGGGGCTGGAGGAAGGGGAAGTGGAGGGGGAGACGCTGCTGATCGTGGAGTCGGAGGACCAGGAGGACCTGTCACATGACCAGAGCGGAGACTCGCTGACCAGCGACCTGGGCGAAGACGCAGACGGCAGCTGGGCCTGCGAGGACGTGTCCTTCTACTGCGACCGCTGCCACAAGTGGGTCCCTGCAGGTGAGCCAATCACAGCTCTGCTTCTACTGTTAATAAAGATATTGGGAGGGAAAAAGCAACCCTTCAAAATAAGAGCATGAATATTACTTGGAGAATTAAAACTTCAAACCATCCCAGGAAATTATTGCTTCAGAATTTATCCAGACAAATAAACTTTGAGCCAAGAGCACCAAAAATACTCAACATTGGCAAAAGTGCTAAGCCACAAGTTAGCTTCGCTGCTAGCGGGTTAGCATCCTGACCCGGTTGTGGTTCCAGGTCAGCTCCATGGTGACCAGCCCAGTTACCTGAAGGGAGACAACTTCTTCAAGTTCCTGTGCTGCGACTGTTCTGAGGACGGCAAGGAGAGCTTTGAGAGGCTGAGGCTCACCTGGCAGCAGGTAAGGCCCCGCCCCCTCAGCAGCTGCACACCTGTCCTGCAGGTTGAAACGGCTTCCTGTGTGCAGGTGGTGATGCTGGCCATGTACAACCTGTCTCTGGAGGGAACGGGGCGGCAGGGCTACTTCAGGTGGAAGGAGGATATCTGCGCCTTCATTGGTCGACACTGGAACTTCCTGCTGGGGAACAGGTGAGTTTCATCCCAGACCTGGCCGCAGGAAGGAGCTCTGTCCATATATGGTGCAGTTCCTGTGCTGCAGCGCGCCCATTAGCACTGGCGGGGGGGGCGACCGGATGACGCTGCTGCTCTGATGTCGGCAGGAAGAAGACGTCCACCTGGTGGAGCACGGTGGCCGGCTGCCTGTCCGTCGGAAGCCCCGCCTTCTTCCGGTCTGGAGCGCAGGAGTTCGGCGAGCCGGGTTGGTGGAAGCTGGTCCAGAACCGTCCCCCCACCCTGAGGCCGGACGGCGACAAATCCAGCACCAAGACCAAAGGTGAGCGGTGCCAGAGCGCCAGCGACCGGCTGAGTGACCCACGCCCCCTGACCTGTGGTTCTGCCGCAGCGACCCGGCCGCCCCTTGAACCCATCATCACGGTGGAGGGCCTGCGTAAGCGTGGCGCCAGGAACCCGGTGGAGAACGCCATGCAGCTGAAGGAGAAGCGTAGCCGCACGCAGGAGGCAAAAGACATCCGGCGCGCACAGAAAGAGGCGGCGGGCGGAGGCTACGCCGACCACAGCGCCTCCTCCACGCCCGTCAAGCTGGGCGTTGGCCGCAGCAGCACTCGCCGCCTGGACCTGGTGCTGGAGCGGGGTGAGGTCGTCGACTTCTCCTCGCTCAGCTCGTCAGACCGGACGCCGCTCACCAGCCCCTCGCCCTCGCCGTCAGCGGACTTCTCCGGGCCGGGGACGCCGGCCTCCCACTCGGCCACGCCCAGCCTGCTGTCGGAGGCGGACCTGATACCCGACGCCATGCCTCCGCAGGCGCTGTTCCATGGTAAGTATGCCCGCCGCTGATGTTAGCGGAGACGTCACTTCCTGACTGCCGGCTCCACTCACAGATGACGAGGAGCTGGAGACGGAGGGCATGATCGACCCGGGGATGGAGTACCTACCCCCGCCCAGCGCCAGCCACACCGGCCGGAAGAAGCTCCGCCCCCCGCAGACTCTCATCAAGCGGGAAGCTGAGAGTGAGGAGGACGCGCACGAAGAACGCTTCGAGGAGCCGGCAGGCTGCGGTGAGGCTCCGCCCCCTGAGAGGCGGATGGCGGAGCGTCGCAGGATGAACCTTCAGGACAAATCGGACAGCGCGGCGCCGCGGCCCGTCGTCTCCGCCCTTAGCCTGTATGACGAGCGGCTGCTGCTGCGCCGGCTGGACGGCTGCTCACTGGCGCTGGCCGTCACGCCACATGCCAAGCGCCTCCGCAGGAAGCTGCTGGTCCGCCACGCCAAGCGTCAGAGAGGGCTCCCCCTGCTGGACATCGACCGCGCCATCAGCGCCACGCTCAGCCTGGTGGGAGGAATCTACGGCATGCAGGAGGCGGAGCATCGCTCTTTGGGCGGGGCTAATGGGAAGTACTGCACCAGCAGCCAGGAGCAGCGCATTCTGGACCGCTTCCAGGTCAGAACCTCCTGGTGACAGCTCAGAACCTTTGCTGGGTCTCACTGGCTCTGACCCGTCTTTGTCCCTGCAGACCAGCATGTCCAGCCGGCCGGGCGTCCAGCAGCGCTCCGTGTCTTTCTGGCACCGCCTGATGGGAGCCGAGGGCGGTCTGGATCAGAACATCAAGAGTCCATACACGGCCCGGATCCTGAAGCCCTTCATCAGGTCCGGAACCGGCCGCCGTTCACACATGCAGCGGTCTGAGTCTGTCAAGGGTCGAGCCTTACTCTCTCTCTCTCCACTGCAAAAATTCATATTAAATAATTCCCCCATTATTCCTGAAATATAAAAGACAAAGACAGGTTGGTAACATAACATTTAAGCTTCATAAACATATTCAACTAAATGTAATAAAAACTGGACAAAACCAGAGCAAACCTGGAAAGCTAAACCGTTCCCTACATTCTGCCATCTGCCTCCGTCTGGGCCTAGCGCAGCCTGACTCACCTGGAGCTAACTAGCCTAGCATGTCGTCACAGTTTCGCCCGCCGTCGTCACAGGTAGGCGTCAGGCTGGTTGGGGTTCTGCTGCTCACTCAGACCCATCTGCTGTTACATGTGGTAAAACGAACAAGTTGAATAAATATTGTTCCTTCACTGATTAAATCCTGGCGGATTAGAGGCTAACAGCTTCATTAGCTTAGCTACAGACTAACGGGTCGATTGCCACCGACGTCTTGAAGAAAACCAGGGTTATAAATTGACGCCCTTTCTTCTGGTCGTTCTTTTTTAAACCTGGTTTAATTATGTTTTAGGCAGCTGGTTATTATCTGTTTCTCTACTGACTGCTAAACACCGTCCAGCGCCAAGCAGGAACAAACCATTTCATGTAGAAATGAGGGGGGGTCACTAAATATGGACGCTGGTCTTCTGGTCTGGGAGGAGGAACGTTTAACTCTCACTGCAAGAAAAAACAACGATGCCGTTCATTTTATGAGTGACGGGCAACAAAAGGGTTTTTTGTGTTGAAAAAGACGTTGTTGTGGGGCCCCCTAGTGGTCAGGTCCTGATTTTCCCTCCTATGAGAAACACTCGGTTCTGGTCCTGGACCTCATGTCCCTCTGTCTCCTCTTCACCTGTCCATGTTTTCCTCAGGAGGGACTTTGAGTCCCGCCCCCTGAAGCTCCGCCTCCTGGCTGAGATCCGGGCATTTCCTCACAGAACGGATCCGGACTGGACCCCAGAACCCGACGCTCCCATCGACTACTGCTACGTCCGGCCCAACCACATCCCCTCGGTCAACGCCATGTGCCACGACAGCTTCTGGCCAGGTAGCCCCGCCCACACCCGCTGCTGCTGTTGCTACAGCGGCCTCTGACCTCAGGCGTGTCCCTGCAGGTGTGGACCTGTCCGAGTGCCTGCAGTACCCAGACTTCAGCGTGGTGGCGCTCTACAGGAAGGTGGTCGTGGGCTTTGGGTTTATGGTTCCGGACGTGAAGTACAGCGAGGCGTACATCTCCTTCCTGCTGGTTCACCCGGAGTGGAGGCGCGCCGGCATCGGCACCTTCATGATCTACCACCTGATCCAGGTGAGTCCGGCCGCGCCCACTACTCCGGGACAGGCGTGTGTGTGTGTGTGTTCAGACGTGTGCGACCCGTGTGTTTCAGACGTGCATGGGGAAGGACGTGACGCTCCACGTGTCGGCTAGCAACCCGGCCATGCTGCTGTACCAGAAGTTCGGCTTCAAGGCCGAGGAATACATCCTGGACTTCTACGACAAATATTACCCAGTGGACAGCAGCGAGTGCCGCCACGCCTTCTTCCTGAGGCTGCGGCGCTGACCCGGCTCTGGACCCGGCTCTGGACTCGGACCCGCTCTGGACCCGGCTCTGGACCCGGCTCTGGACCTGGCTCTGGACCCGCGCTCTGGACCCGGCTCTGGACCCGGACCTGAATCCCTGTAGCTCTGTGTTTTCCATGATTGACCAGCAGGCGGCGCTGTTCCCCGAGTTTCAGTTTTCATCTTGATTTGATTAAAGTGAGGAAGATAATTTTCTCCTGGTGAATAAATAATAACTTCGAAACAATGTTGGGTTTTATTTCCATAAACTTTAAGAAATGACCTGGATGGGGTCAAAGGTCAACCCCACAAATATTCTATCATATTCGCAGGTTCCGATCAAGGGCTGGTGTCATCATAGCAACCATCACACCACTTCTTTGTGCCAGCAGTCCAGGATGGGCACCTCAGTTAATCACAGGAACGGGTCGGAACCAGAACCAGGGCATCGAAGCTCTGCAGGCGTGTACCGTTATGGTCCGGCCCGGTCCAGGCTGAGAAAGGTCCGGCCGGTTGGCATCGTCTGACCCGCAGCCTGACGCCCACCCTGTACCTGGAGGCACATGGTGACATGATAAGGGGGCGGAGGAACTCTGCGACAGGCGGCCAATCAGAACCCAGAGCTGCAGAATTCTTCATCCTGAGGAAGAGGAGAATGGCTTGAGTCACGTGACAAGCCGAAGGGGCGTGGTCAGAATGTGGGCGTGGCCAGGGGTTATGAATCACGTGTAACTGTAACACCTCTGGCTCCGCCCACACTACACCTCACACCTGTGTGAGATCATCAGGTCCTGAGTGTTATGGACCTGTTCACCATGGTAACCTGATTGCAGCCAGACAGCCAATCAGAGCGCAGCGAACGCGAGCTGGGTTTTCTGTTCTTACTGACGGTCCGGATCGGTTCTGTTCTTACCAACAGGTTCGGTTCCGGGTCGGCATCCCGCTTCCTCCCTGGACTTCCTGGAAGACAAAGCAGAGTTTTGAGCCAGAGGTTCTGATCCTTTTCTGAACAGAACCAGAGAACCTCCAGGTGTTCATGGTCCAAAGCTCTGTCAGGTCGGAACCAGCTCTGTCAAGAGGAACCAATTTCATCCTAAAAGTACCACCAGGGGTCACTGTTCATCAGTCCGGCCCGGTTCTCCTGTCCAGATCAGAACCACCAGAACATCCTCTGTTCTTACCAGCTCTGTCTGACGCACACTGTGTGACACTGCTCAGTGTCTGGACCCGACCCGGTACCATAGAACTTCCTGCCAGGCCATCATGGTCCCCATCAGGTCCGAACTGCTGGACACAGAGGTTCTGCCGGGTCAAAAGTCTGCTTTCAGAACCAGTTCAGGGACCTGGTCCGGACCTCACCTGCTGGTTCTGATTGGCTGCCAATGAGAAGCTCAACATCAGAACCACTTCATCCTGGTTCTGCTGGACCAGCGCCGACACCATCTGGACCGGACCAGAACAATAAACCGGATCAGAACCATCCTGGCCCACATTTAGCTGAACCACAAGTTCTGTTCTGCTTACCCGGCCCAGTCGAGGTTCTGCCAGCAGGGTTCTGAAGGAGGCCCGGTTTTGGGTGTAGCTCCTCAGGTGAGCACAGACGTGGTCCAGTTGGTTCCTCCAGTAACCTACAGAACCATCGGAACCAAACAGAACCATCAGAGATTCCAGGACCGGGCCAAGCCTCTGATGGCGTTGCCATGGTACCTCTGCCGGGGCTGACGGCGCTGAGCGGCGGCCGGCTCCTCGCCGCCTCCCGCCGCAGCGCCCTCTGCTGGTCCCGCTGCTGCAGCGCAGTGGCTGATGGGTAATAGAGTCCCACGGTCTGCGTGGACCGATCCACAGGGGAGGAGCTACGCCCCGTCTGGAGGCGGCGCTCTGTGGGGGCGGAGCCTTCCAGGCAGAGTCACGAGGGGGCGGGGCCTGCAGGGACCCAGCCTGTTAATGACAGGAAGAAGTAAGACAGGAAACAGCTGTCTTTCTACCTTGCTGTGGGCGGCGTCCTCTTCAGGCAGTGTGATGTCACTGCACGGTGTGGGCGGAGACAGCGCCAGGAGGAACACGCCGCACGCCGCACAGTGGGGGGCGTCAGGCCGTGAGCTTGCTCCGCACCGCCAACACGTCACCCAGAGGGGGGCGTGGCCAGCCTGGATAGCACACTAATAAATATCCCATAATGCTTCACTGCCCAACACACCAGGTCAAAGGTCACCTTGCTGCCACAACAGTCACAGAATCTGGCATCATGACGGTTCAGGCGACGACACCTGGAGCAGGACCACATGCTGCCGTCCGCCGGCCCACCTGAGGGGCCGGCGCCTCCACCCGGGTCGACCTGCAGCAACACACACAGGTAAAGCCGGGCCAGAACCCACTTGACCCGGGTTTTGGTCTGGACGTACCGGCTGAAGATCAGAACCAGAACTCGATGTGAGTACTTCCTGGTTGACGTTCTGATTCTATCAGAACCTGACCCATGGTTGCTAAGGGGATGCACCTTGAGCTCACCTGCAGGAGAAGCCGGCCTGAGACCCTTCTATGGACGCCTCGCAGGTCCAACAGGTCCGAGAGTTTTTGGGAACCAGGCAGCGACAGAAAGGACACGGCAGGAGCTGAGACAGCAGGACAGACGGTCGGTCAGTCCGGACGGCCGGCCGGCGCACCTGGACGGTGGACGAATGAAGTACCTGTCCTCTCCCAGCAGGGGGCGGCTTGCGCCAGTACCGGAGGAATCACAGCGCCACATTGAGGACAGAACCGTGCAAACGGGTCTGAAGGGCAGAGGCAGAGGCAGCGAGGACACCTGGAGACACAGAGGACCAGGACACGCCCCCCACTGGACGTTTGAGGAACCACAATACCAATAATAAAACAACAGCTTGTATTTCATTGATAAAAACTGGCCTCAATGCTGCATTTCAGCACAATTTTACAACAGTTGTTTGTTATGGACAAACTAGACCTGAATAAAAATCGCATAGCAACAACAAGCGCACAAAAGTAGCTCATGTTAGCCCACTGGGCGTGTCTCTGCCAGTGGGCGTGTCTCTGCCAGTGGGCGTGTCTCTGCCAGTGGGCGTGTCTCTGCCAGTGGGCGTGTCCTAAGGGTAGCGTCATCAGAGTGTGGGTGTCTTGAGATGGTACCATGGTGCTGTGGTGACTCTCGGCCGTTGGGTTTGCGGTTCGCTGCTCGGCTGCGTTCCATGGTGAGAATCCTAGCAGACAGGAAGTAGATCACAGGAAGTAGATCACAGTATAGGCCGGCCAGGTCTGGAACTTCCTGCCGGATCTCCCTGTTAGCCTGTTTACCGCAGAGCGGAGCGTCGGGAGGAGCTGGTCCAGGCAGCATCAGGATCTGGAATCCCAACACCTCTGGAGCGTCTGGAGGGAAGGGAGATCGGAGGACTGGACCCGGTCCGGCCCGGTTCAGAAGCCGGACTGCAGGTGACTTCCCTCCACTTTGAGTGTCCAGGTGTTCCTGCAGGTGTTGGATTAGAAACGGGCGGCTCATCAGAATTGCAGCCTCCATCAGACTGGACCTGAAGCAACAGAACCACAGAGGCGGAGCCTTCAGACCAGACAGGTGAGCGAGGTCAGGGGTCAGCTACAAGCTGCTGATTGGCTACCTGCTGGTCTGGTTCCACCTGACCCACGGAGAACACCTTGGTGACCACGGAGCTGCGCCTCCCGTCCCTGCGCCGCAGTCACATTCAGAAGAGGAAAACAGGAAGTGATGCAGCTCAAGTGTTTCTGCTGAACGTTACCTGGCAACGGCCACGGCCCTGACAGACACCTGGCCCGCAGGAAGAAAGACGGGACCTGTGTACTTCCTGCTGCCGACCTCTGACCCCCGGAGCAAGGCAACCGGCTTCGAACCATCCAGAGTGAAGAAGATCAGCACACCTGCAGAGTCTGAAGAAACACACACCTGGAGAACAAGGAAGACCTTGGATATGTTGGATGCAGTTGGATGTGTTGGATGCAGTTGGATGTGTTGGATGCAGTTGGATGTGTTGGATGCAGTTGGATGCAGTTGGATGTGGTTGGATGCAGTTGGATGTGTTGGATGCAGTTGGATGCAGTTGGATGCAGTTGGATGTGTTGGATGCAGTTGGATGCAGTTGGATGTGGTTGGATGCAGTTGGATGTGTTGGATGCAGTTGGATGCAGTTGGATGCAGTTGGATATGTTGGATGCGGTTGGATGTGGTTGGATGTGGTTGGATGCAGTTGGATGTAGTTGGAAGTGTTGGATGAAGCTGGATGTGGTTGGATGCAGTTGGATGTGGTTGGATGCAGTTGGATGCGGTTGGATGAAGATGGATGCAGTTGGATGCAGTTGGATGTGGTTGGATGCAGTTGGATGCGGTTGGATGAAGATGGATGCAGTTGGATGCAGTTGGATGTGGTTGGATGCAGTCGGATGCAGTTGGATGTGGTTGGATGTGGTTGGATGCAGTTGGATGCGGTTGGATGTGGTTGGATGTGGTTGGATGCAGTTGGATGTGGTTGGATGCAGTTGGATGCGGTTGGATGTGGTTGGATGCAGTTGGATGCGGTTGGATGCAGTTGGATGCAGTTGGATGCGGTTGGATGTGGTTGGATGCAGTTGGATGCGGTTGGATGTGGTTGGATGTGGTTGGATGCAGTTGGATGTGGTTGGATGCAGTTGGATGTGTTGGATGCAGTTGGATGTGGTTGGATGCAGTTGGATGCAGTTGGATATGTTGGATGCAGTTGGATGCAGTGGATGCGGTTGGATGTGGTTGGATGCAGTTGGATGTGGTTGGATGCAGTTGGATGCAGTTGGATGCAGTTGGATATGTTGGATGCGGTTGGATGCGGTTGGATAAGGTTGGATGCAGTTGGATGTGGTTGGATGTGGTTGGATGCAGTTGGATGTGGTTGGATGCAGTTGGATGCGGTTGGATGTGGTTGGATGCACTTGGATGTGTTGGATGTGTTGGATGTACCAGACTGGATGCAGTTGGATGCGGTTGGATGCAGTTAGATGCAGTTGGATGCAGTTGGATGTGGTTGGATGCAGTTGGATGCAGTTGGATGTGGTTGGATGCGGTTGGATATGGTTGGATGTGGTTGGATGCGGTTGGATAAGGTTGGATGCAGTTGGATGTGGTTGGATGTGGTTGGATGCAGTTGGATGTGGTTGGATGCAGTTGGATGCGGTTGGATGTGGTTGGATGCAGTTGGATGTGTTGGATGTGTTGGATGTACCAGACTGGATGCAGTTGGATGCGGTTGGATGCAGTTAGATGCAGTTGGATGCAGTTGGATGTGGTTGGATGCAGTTGGATGCAGTTGGATGTGGTTGGATGCGGTTGGATATGGTTGGATGTGGTTGGATGCGGTTGGATGTGGTTAGATGCAGTTGGATGCGGTTGGATGTGGTTGGATGTGGTTGGATGTGGTTGGATGCGGTTGGATGTGTTGGATGTGTTGGATGCAGTTGGATGCGGTTGGATGCGGTTGGATGTGGTTGGATGCAGTTGGATATGTTGGATGCGGTTGGATGCGGTGGATATGGTTGGATGTGGTTGGATGTGGTTGGATGTGGTTGGATGCAGTTGGATGGGGTTGGATGTGGTTAGATGCAGTTGGATGTGTTGGATGTGGTTGGATGCGGTTGGATGTGGTTGGATGCGGTTGGATATGGTTGGATGCGGTTGGATGCGGTTGGATGGTTGGATGCAGTTGCATGCAGTTGGATGTGGTTGGATGCGGTTGGATGTGGTTGGATGCAGTTGGATGTGGTTGGATGCAGTTGGATGTGTTGGATGCGGTTGGATGCGGTTGGATGTGGTTGGATGCGGTTGGATGCGGTTGGATGTGGTTGGATGCGGTTGGATGCGATTGGATGCAGTTGGATGTGTTGGATGCGGTTGGATGTGGTTGGATGCGGTTGGATGTGGTTGGATGCGATTGGATGCAGTTGGATGTGTTGGATGCGGTTGGATGTGGTTGGATGTGTTGGATGCAGTTGGATGTGTTGGATGCGGTTGGATGTGGTTGGATGTGTTGGATGCGGTTGGATGCAGTTGGATGTGTTGGATGTGGTTGGAAGTGTTGGATGAAGCTGGATGTGGTTGGATGCAGTTGGATGTGGTTGGATGCAGTTGGATATGTTGGATACGGTTGGATGCAGTTGGATGTGGTTGGATGCAGTTGGATGTGGTTGGATGCAGTTGGATGCGGTTGGATGCAGTTGGATGTGGTTGGATGCGGTTGGATGCAGTTAGATGCAGTTGGATGTGGTTGGATGCAGTTGGATGCGGTGGATGTGGTTGGATGCAGTTGGATGCAGTTGGATGCGGTTGGATGCAGTTGGTGCGGTTGGATGCAGTTGGATGCGGTTGGATGCGGTTGGATGCAGTTGGATGCAGTTGGATGCGGTTGGATGCAGTTGGATGCGGTTGGATGCGGTTGGATGCAGTTGGATGCAGTTGGATGCAGTTGGATGTGTTGGATGCAGTTGGATGTGGTTGGATGTGGTTGGATGCAGTTGGATGTGGTTGGATGCGGTTGGATGCAGTTGGATGCAGTTGGATGTGGTTGGATGTGGTTGGATGTGGTTGGATGCAGTTGGATGCGGTTGGATGAAGATGGATGCAGTTGGATGCAGTTGGATGCAGTTGGATGTGGTTGGATGCAGTTGGATGCGGTTGGATGCAGTTAGATGCAGTTGGATGCAGTTGGATGTGGTTGGATGCAGTTGGATGTGGTTGGATGCAGTTGGATGTGGTTGGATGCAGTTGGATGCGGTTGGATGTGGTTGGATGCAGTTGGATGCAGTTGGATGTGTTGGATGTGTTGGATGTACCTGACTGGATGCGGTTGGATGCAGTTGGATGTGGTTGGATGCAGTTGGATGCGGTTGGATGTGGTTGGATGTGGTTGGATGCAGTTGGATGTGTTGGATGTGTTGGATGTACCTGACTGGATGCAGTTGGATGCGGTTGGATGCGGTTGGATACAGTTGGATGCAGTTGGATGTGGTTGGATGCAGTTGGATGTGGTTGGATGCAGTTGGATGTGGTTGGATGCGGTTGGATGCGGTTGGATGCAGTTGGATGCAGTTGGATGTGGTTGGATGCAGTTGGATGCGGTTGGATGCAGTTGGATGCAGTTGGATGCGGTTGGATGTGGTTGGATGCAGTTGGATGCGGTTGGATGCAGTTGGATGCGGTTGGATGCGGTTGGATGTGGTTGGATGTGGTTGGATGCGGTTGGATGCAGTTGGATGTGGTTGGATGTGTTGGATGTACCTGACTGGATGCAGTTGGATGCGGTTGGATGTGGTTGGATGCAGTTGGATGTGGTTGGATGCAGTTGGATGTGTTGGATGTGTTGGATGTGTTGGATGTACCAGACTGGATGCAGTTGGATGCGGTTGGATGCAGTTAGATGCAGTTGGATGCAGTTGGATGCGGTTGGATGTGGTTGGATGCAGTTGGATGTGTTGGATGTGTTGGATGCGGTTGGATGCAGTTGGATGCAGTTGGATGTGGTTGGATGCGGTTGGATGTGGTTGGATGTGGTTGGATGTGGTTGGATGCAGGTGGATGTGTTGGATGTGGTTGGATGCAGTTGGATGTGGTTGGATGCAGTTGGATGCAGTTGGATGTGGTTGGATGTGGTTGGATGTGGTTGGATGCAGTTGGATGCAGTTGGATGTGGTTGGATGTGGTTGGATGCAGTTGGATGCGGTTGGATGTGGTTGGATGTGGTTGGATGCGGTTGGATGTGGTTGCCTGTGTGGATGCAGTTGTATGCGGTTGTATGCGGTTGGATGTGGTTGGATGCGGTTGGATGCGGTTGGATGTGGTTGGATGTGGTTGGATGTGGTTGGATGCAGTTGTATGCGGTTGGATGTGGTTGGATGCGGTTGGATGTGGTTGGATGCGGTTGGATGTGGTTGGATGTGTTGGATGTACCTGACTGGATGCAGTTGGATGCAGTTGGATGTGGTTGAATGCAGTTGGATGTGGTTGGATGCAGTTGGATGTGTTGGATGTGTTGGATGCAGTTGGATGCGGTTGGATGCAGTTGGATGCGGTTGGATGCAGTTGGATGCAGTTGGATGCGGTTGGATGTGGTTGGATGCAGTTGGATGCAGTTGGATGCAGTTGGATGTAGTTGGATGCAGTTGGATGTGGTTGGATGCGGTTGGATGTGGTTGGATGTGGTTGGATGCAGGTGGATGTGTTGGATGTGGTTGGATGCAGTTGGGTGCGGTTGGATGCGGTTGGATGCAGTTGGATGCGGTTGGATGCAGTTGGATGCAGTTGGATGCGGTTGGATGTGGTTGGATGCAGTTGGATGCAGTTGGATGTAGTTGGATGCAGTTGGATGTGGTTGGATGCGGTTGGATGTGGTTGGATGTGGTTGGATGCAGGTGGATGTGTTGGATGTGGTTGGATGCAGTTGGGTGCGGTTGGATGCTGTTGGATGTGGTTGGATGCGGTTGGATGTGGTTGGCTGTGGTTGGATGCAGTTGGATGCGGTTGGATGCGGTTGGATGTGGTTGGATGCAGTTGTATGCGGTTGGATGTGGTTGGATGCGGTTGGATGCGGTTGGATGTGGTTGGATGCAGTTGTATGCGGTTGGATGCGGTTGGATGTGGTTGGATGCGGTTGGATGTGGTTGGATGTGGTGGATGCGGTTGGATGTGGTTGGATGCGGTTGGATGTGGTTGGATGCGGTTGGATGCGGTTGGATGTGGTTGGATGCGGTTGGATGTGGTTGGATGCGGTTGGATGCGGTTGGATGCGGTTGGATGCAGTTGGATGTAGTTGGATGCAGTTGGATGCAGTTGGATGTAGTTGGAAGTGTTGGATGAAGCTGGATGTGGTTGGATGCAGTTGGATGTGGTTGGATGCAGTTGGATATGTTGG